AAAATTTAATTAAATAATACTTTTGATAACATTTTTATCACAATTATGTATTGCATAAGGTTCACAATTTGGCAATGTAGCATTTTAAAAATGATCACGTACTTTTATAATTTTAGTGATGATAAGCAACAAATTTTACCAATTATTTCTTAAAAAGAAGGTATAGAATGCAACCTTACAATGATAATGGCTAGTTCAAATGAATTTCTCAAAAAATTTTCTGTTTCTTGTAGCGTGAGCAAGTCAAAGATCACAAATGAAGGAAATGCGAAAATGATCAATACTGGTAATCTAATTGCCTCAAGTTCATAATATTCAAAGTCAATAAGAATAGATGCAAGGTCTAGTAATGATGAAAATAGCCATAGGGATAATAGGCCAAAGATCCTAATTCATTAAATATACTCTACGATTACAAATCTGAACATTATTGATCAGCTATTAAAAGAAAAATAGCGAGCTAAATCGACATTGTAAATAAAGCATGTTTATTAAAGTTAATTTGCATTTCTGTATTATTTTATTAATTAACAATTGTTCCTATTTTTATTATAGTAAACTGATCTATTTAAACATAATCGATACAATAAATAAATATTCAATGGATAGATTGGAAATCAAAAGTGATTATACTTAGATTTCTGTTATTAATAAAGTCACAAAATATATTGATGAATTAATCAATAATGTATATTTTAAGGATTTATTAATAGTAAATTCCTTTTTTATAATCAAATAATTATTTCGCACAAATTTTCTCTAACTTTAGTTTGATATATGCGATAAATTCTATAGAAAACTTCAATTTCCATTTATTCTTACTAGATGAAACTTATTTATTTAATAAACATTATAAGATGAACTGGGTCTACTGTTTCGCTAATAAATTGAGTTTAATTGCTCATCTGGTTTTCATTCTATAGATGTTATTTTATATTGTTTAATAAATCACTTTAACTGCTATCATTGGTTATCTTTTTTTGAGGCCTCATAAAATTCACTTCTAGATAAACATTCTAAAGTTTGGCTGAATTGCCAAATCTTGACTTTGTTAATTGATAATTGCTTTTAACATGCGAAAAAATTCAAATTCATCGGTTAGTATAAAGTTAGTTTTTTAGTAAGATATAATACGATAGTTGATTTAATATTTTATCCTAATCAGAGATGAAGAAATGTTATTGGCATCTATTAAGCATAAAAACTTATCAAGGAAAGAATCAGAAAAAACATAACCTGAGTACAAAATTAATATTCTCTTTTGTATTGATAACATGAAATATTTTGGTTTAATTCTTTCTAAACTCTTTCCCACTTCGCTCAAAACCACTATAGGAAAAGTCACTCAAAAAAATTTAACAACAACCTAAAAACTCAATGCAACACTTATAGTTACCCTGACTCACCTGTTGATGAAAAGTCTTTAGAATCACCTCAAAAGAAAACAGTCACTGTTCTTAACTGTCTCAGTTCTGCTAACAATAATAATACTGATAACTTAAATGTCACTTCTGGCTCCCAAGGTAATATGGAAATAGACCCCTACTTCAAACTAAAAATGAAAGTATTTCAACCTTCATCATTTTCAAAACTACCAACACTATGGATGAGGATTAAGCACATGATCCTACTGAAAACTTAGTTGAAAAAATTAGTTCTTCGCCTAATATACTCTCATTTGAATATATTCGTGATGCCTCTTCTTTCTATATTTATTGCGCCTATAAAACTTTCTCTCTGGAAAATCAAATAAGAAAAAAATTAACCATGCTTGTGAGATGTTCAATGGCGTTAATTTTTTGTCTTTCATTAGTACCTCTGTGAAATAAGACCCTGCAAATAAAATACCTAAAATTATCCGATTTGGTTTTTTCACGAGTTTAGATGCTAATAATGTACTCTGTACTAAATTTTCCAATATGGCAAATTTAGAGCTCTGAACAGGTCAGTTCAGGTCAGGTCAATCAAGTTACCTGAACTGAGAGGATCAGGTCAGGTCAAACAAAAATCTGACC